ACGCAACTCAACGTGTAGCTGCTGATCAGTCGACATCACACTCCCAAGGTAGCAGAAGCGGGAGGTGGTTTCCAATACTTCAACACCAATGCTGATTTGCGGCAATATTGAAGATTGCACCTCCGGTGAAGGCTGAAAGAGACAGACAGTTTTGCTTGTGTTGATGGTGAGCCCGAATTTGGCCGCTGTCGAAGCCAGAGCACTAGTCATGTGCTGCAACTCATCCGCGCTGTGTGAAAACAACGCACAGTCGTCAGCAAACAGCAACATACGGATAGTTGTCTCACAGACTAGAGTTCTCGCACCGAAACGACGGATGTTCAGCAACCCACCATCAATACGGTGCTCCACACGAACACCGTAAGCACATGCGGCATCAAAAGCACAAGACATCATTGCATGAAGATAGATATTAAACAGGGCAGGAGCTAACACACAGCCTTGCTTCACACCAGAGACAACTGTAAAGTCATCAAAGGTCTCTCCACTCAGCTGCACCCTCGCTCGCATACCACTGTGCAGACTTTCAATTAAACTTACAAACTTACGCGGGCAACCAAACTTACCCAACACCAGCCACAGTGCCTCGCGGTTCACCGTATCAAATGCCTTGGTGAAATCAACAAAAAGCGAGTACAATGGCTGGTGTCGTTCTCTGCACTTCTCTTGCAACTGACGAGCCGCAAACACCATATCTATAGTGCTGCGACCCGAACGGAATCCACACTGTTCCTCCGCCACGTTAGGTTCCACAATCTGACTCACGAGGCGATTGAGCAGGATTCGGGCAATCACCTTGCCCACACAACTCAGCAAGTTGATGCCACGATAATTCGTGCAACATTGCTTGCTCCCTTTGCCCTTGTACAGTGGTAGCACAAGCGCATCCTTCAGCTCAGGAGGCACCTCCTCCTCAATCCACACGCGTTGCACCAAGTGGTGCAGCGCAGTCACCAACGCGGGTCCACCGTGTTTCAATACTTCAGGTGGGATCTCGTCACCTCCGGCACATTTGCCGTTTCGCAGCTGAGCAAGTGCTCTCTGCGTCTCATCCAGTGTCGGCGTATCCGCCAGATCCGCCTTCACATCGTGCTGCTTCAGGCCATTCAGTGTAGGCCAGTCGATCTCTGAACGGTTGTTCAAGAGACAGTCAAAGTGTTTCCGCCAGACCTGCATTATGTCTGCAGTCTGGGTGCAGGTAGCGCCTGAACTACCATCGATCAGTGTCCTCAGCGGCTCCAATCTCGGTCCATACACCGCCTTCAAGGAGTCAAAGAATTCCTTGTGTTGACGGCGTTCGGCGTAGCATTCCATCTGCTTCGCCTTCTCCGTCCACCATGCATTTTTAATGCGACGGAGCTCTCGGGTCAGTCGCCGTCGAAGTTTGCGAAACTGACTACTCTTCCCCAAGTCACTGGGGTCTGCCACATGTGCAGCAAATGCTGCATTCTTCTCTGACACCAATGCGTCAATCGTCACATTGTTGTCATCAAACCAATCAGGCCGCTTACAGTTTGCGCGCCCGATGGTCTCCTCCGCAGCAGCTGTCACCTGGTCGCGAATGTGGTGCCACAGGTAGCCCACTGTGGCTATACAGTCCACATCACCACACAGGCGTGCAGCCATCGCCTTCTCCAGCTCAGTACGTTTCGCCACAGTACCGAGGGAGAGAATGTTAAATTTACGCCGATTCACGGCGGGAGTGCAATACATCGATTTACGAAAATATATGTACAGTTTGGTCCGAACCAATTTGTGATCAGTGCCACACTCAGCTCCACGCAGTACACGTGTCATGCGCACTTCACGCATATCACGCTGACGTACGATGACATAGTCGAGCAGGTGAGCGTGACCACTCCGTGGGTGCGTCCAAGTTGCTATTTCACTCGCACTCAGTGCAAACCGAATGTTTGTGATCGTCAGGCCGTGAGTGGCACACAGTGAGAGCAGCCTGTCACCGTTCGCATTCGCTGAACCAATGCCATGCGAACCGATAACATCTGTCCACGCTGATGCATCACGCCCAACACGCGCGTTGAAATCACCCAGCAGAAATAGTCGGTCGCTCCTCAGCACAGACCGTATCACGGAGGATAGCTCAGTGTAGAACTGATCACGCGTGTCATCAGGATAACACATGGTCGGACCGTACGTGCTTATAAAAGTAGCAAACTTACCTCTTCCGAGTCGTAGGCGAACAGTCATCAGCCGCGCGCTGATGCCCGTTGGTTCACCCATCAGCTGGCCATGGAGGCGATCGGATATTGCAAATCCGACCTCATGTTCACGTGGTGCTGAGGCGGCGTTCCCCACCCAGTAGAATGTGTAGCCAGCACCTGCTTCATGTAACTTACCTTGCTCAGCGAGCCGAGTTTCACTGAGCGCCGCAATATCGATGTGGTAACGCGCCAGCTCCATTGCGACCAGTGCAGTGCGTCGCTCCGGGCGCTCGCTCGAGTTCCGGTCCAGTAGTGTGCGCACGTTCCAGCACCCGATGCTGAGTGCTTTGCGCGCAGGCATACGATTGCATTGGTGGGCAATCGCACGCGAGGTGGTCGTTGTGCTTCGGAGGTTTGCTTGAGGGACTCCACCCGGAGCCTTTTTCTCAATAGCCTGACCCACAAGGCAGTGGGTAGTTTGGAGGTTTGCTTGAGGGACTCCACCCGGAGCCTTTGGCTCAATAGCCTGACCCACAAGGCAGTGGAGAGCAGATCCAGCTCGGGAATGTGATTGCAGAGACAGATTGGGATCTGTTTGACGGCCGTCACAGGCAGCCTTTGAGGTTCTGGAACAATTATTATGTGTTTTGCGACCGTAGTAGGATACGCACCTGCGACCACGGCCAGACGCAGGTGGGTTTTTGGCGGGTTTGCACCAATTTGACCAGGGGCTGCCTGGCTTGAGGCGGGCAGTAGCAAACCATTGAACACCCGGAGGTGTCCTCCCACCGTCAGATACAATGCGTGGCACTCGTGCTCTACGCCAATCGAGCATTGAGAATATCACCCGTAACCTGTTGTCTCCCATGGCTAGGTTTTACGGGAAGTGGGCCATCGACCACTTCCTAACCTCCGGAGAGGATGGACTAGGATACTGCCAGGGCGCCCAATCCTGACAGGAGAATGACTCGGGTCCTCAGCCAAAGCCTTCGATTAAATGAACACCCGAAAGGCAGCGGGTCTAGCACATGGTCAGTTAGCTGACTCATGCGGATTGGTGTCCTGGATCTTAGCAGGGAGAAGGGCGAAACCTAACTCCCACCCAGCGGTCGCCACGTGGAGGCGCCCAGGACATGAGACTATGTTGCAACAGTAGCAGCAGTGGGTAGACCATCTGTCAGGATCTAGCCACCACCAGCCTCAGCGCACCATATATATATATATATATATATATATATATATATATATATATATATATATATATATGTATATATATATATATACATATATGCAAACATCTACGATTAGACATACTGCCATCAGAAACCATGGGATTCAAACGAAGGTACAGAAATAGTAAAGGAAAACACAACACAACAATGAACATGGTTTCGTCAGAGTGCGAAATACTACCCGGTTGCCCAAGCCTAAGTAGGGTGTTGACTTAGGGGACACCACCCCGAGCCTTTGGCTGAATAGCCTGTCCGCAAGGAAGCGGAGCGAATTCAATTAATCGCGCCCATTGGGAGCCGGTGACTGATTGTTCAGTTTATACGCTTTTCGTTCGTTACTTTGTCAAACAGGGGCCCAATGCTCCCCAGAACTACAGCATAACGTCGCTGGAATACAATGCTTCGTCAGGATGAAGCAAGGGGCAGTGACTTTATTTAGTGGCGAGTCACGTCCGCCACGTCACAGTGTTGTTAAACGGACATATGTGGCTTTTTATAGGGAGAACGCTTGCAAGGCGAAAACCCACCACGTCCTGGAACACTGCCGCCGAACCATTTGCTGGAACGGGAAAATCCCGAACCACCCAGCTGGCACCACGAGGAGGTTGTTCGGCAAGCCAGCCTGCTTCCGGCGATTCCCATGGTTTTGTTTGGCTCTATGTCTATTTTTCAGACTGTTGTTAATACACACATACATACTTGAGACTGTCACCGGTGTGAATCGGTTATTTTACCTCTTTCCAAATGTCGGAAAACTCAATGCAGCACTTCGATATTCACTGCGACTAAGCAGACAATGCCAGATGCGGATTCATTATATACACTCAATATTTTCTGCGCGTCTGGAATTATCTTCGAACGACCCATGCAACTGGCACAATCTCAACGTCTTACTTGTTCGTCCCAGAAACTCACAAGCGAGATAGTCCAATCACCAATCTAGTAAGGCATCAGATGACTCTTTCGACCTATTTGGGCTCGTTAGGGGTGCGGATTCACTTGTTAGCAGCTTGCGCCTATTTATCAGTAATCTCTTAGATACTACAAGTCTGTGCCAAGGTAATTTGCACTTGGCCAGAGATTCAATCCCTCAACGTGGCTACATACATAAGATTTCTTTTTGATATTGTCATCCTTGGTTTATAGCTCAACGATGTGAATCATAATTAGACGAAATCATGTCTAAGTTAGTGAGCGGTTCCTCTAGCAAGATCGACGTGCTGGCTAACGTTCGCACCACGCTCAAAGCAGCTGCTTGTACCGCCACGTGATTGGTGTTCTATGGTGTACTTCCTTCCCCCGTCACTTTATTCTGCGGTTTTCGCTTATTTGCTCCTTCTCCACTTTATTCATTCAAATTACCGCCACTAGCTCACCCACACTTCGGATGTATGAACGATTGCTGATTGATGGAACGGAACTGAGCTTCGTTTGCTTCTTAGCCCCGGAATACTTGACTTCATTTGTCACCGTTAACTTATGGTTACTTGCTTCGGTGCTATTTCGTCGGTGTATTCTGCTATTCCTCTTTTCGGGCATGTTTCTCTGGGGCTTGTTAATCTTTTAGTCTTACCACTCTTCCTCTCTGCAACCTTACCACCGTCAGCATCAACTTTTGCGAAACTTGACTCTGGATATCCCACACCCTTCGGGACCTCGGGCGGAAGCACTTCAACTGGCGCATGTACTGAAAGTTAAAGCAAATTTCTTCCGTCTCCCCGATCCACCGTGTACTAATGTTGGGCGTTCACCCAGCGCGCTCTCCTCCGTTTCAAATGCGTTTTCGACCGGCGACTTATGTTCGCCTTCCTGCGGATATATTCATCGTGTGGCTCTAAGTGTCGGCGGTAGGCAGTTTGTTGGAGAAGCAACCACGCTTTCCGGAGCTGAACAAGAGGCATCTGTTGCCTTTTTAAGGGTAAGTTTTCCCCCACCTTTCTCCATAGTCACTCGGAATGTTTCCTGTTGTACTGTTCATTAGTTTCATCAGGCACGTAGGACCTTGTTTCGTGAGGTTTGTGTAGGAATGATTACATCGCGCATTATCTTGCGCCTCCGCGTTGCATTCCCTATATGCCGAAAGCATGACCCTTAGATCTACTTAATTTGATGGTATTCTTTGCGCGTGCGTTACATCGTAATCGCTAGGCTTTGGGAACATATTGGAGTATCCACTTGATATGGTCATACACTCAGATAGGGTGATATGTACTACCTCATACATTTGATTTTCAGTTGTGACAACTAACCTTCCAATTTTGCCGCTGTTAAAGGTGCTGTTATCGGTCCATCCTCGCTACCGACATGAAGAAATTAGTCATCTATTTTAAGTAAGCTAGGTGCGTACTTGATTTTCCATCCTGCTATCACTACTTGAGTGCAGTTCGTCCGCATTCCACCAACGTTTTTTGTTCCATTGCAGGCCCTCCGACTGGTGCTGGTTTCCTTTGAAACTTTTGCGAAGAGAAAACATTTTCATCGCGAACCTGATCAACGGATCCATTTTCGGCCAAATTGTTCTGTTTGGCGCCTTCAGGTTCTTGCCGGATTGCATCGTTTGCACCCATCATTTAAGGTATGTTGTTCATGTGACCGCTATTTTGCGTTTTCGCAGTGCGTGCTTTCGATCATTCAATGAAAGCTTGAGGCGTGGCTTTATCCACCACTTTACTTGCTACCCAAGTAGGCTGCTCATCCTGTTGATTTCATCAGCGGCCAAATCAGTGTCCCCACTGTAAAAATTCCCTTCTGCTACAGACGTCTCGTCGAGATATCTAGCAAGGCTTTCTTTCCATTTTTCTCCTAGGTTTTTCTGTCCGATTTTACTGCTATCGATGTGTCCAAGGAGAACACGAAGAAGTCCTATTGTTGTATTTGCTCCCTTCCTTCATTCGAACCTGTGAATGCTGGTGGTCCGTCGAAAGCCATCGCTCGTAAACGTGCAGCCGAAGCAATGCTCAGTCGTCTGATTCCCGAATATTCGGACGGTGTGGTTTTACCCATCGAATGCGCACAACAGCCTAGCACAGGACCAGATATGCGAAGCACTCGAAACAAATCAACAAAAACTAAGGTATCTATTGCTTGATGACGTTCTCCATCACAGTGATATTGGACCCTGCATCTTTGCGATGTCAAATTCACATAAGCCATTTGATTATGCCAGGTATTGGTACTTTGTAGTTACATTTCAGAAACCTTCATGCTATACAGATCATCAATTACCGGTTAGACGTATTTATTTCCGCATTTTCATCCTAGGAGATTATAGTGTGATCTATCACTCTTACACCCGAATACAGCCCGGTATGACAAGTTTATGGATCATAATTCTAATCATATCGGCATCGAGTACTATATCCATAGACGGTTTCTCAAAGTGCGGAAGCATAACTGTCGCTTATGGGCTTGTTACTCTTGGCCTCAAGCATGACGGCGGAGGTCCAAAAACTCCGTACTCGCAGCGCACTCGTGTTGCAATTTAGAAGCCCACATCAGCTCGTCTTCATCATCCGGAAATCCTGATGGTGCGCAGATTTGTATTGCGGCTATGAAGAAGCTCTTGACGCATGTTACTCCAAGTCAGGGGAATCAGTAAATAATTGGTCTATGTTTTATAATAAATTAGGACCACCAGCCACTTGATGTCTCCTTGACCCATAACAACGAGGAACTTCAGATACTTGATCAATCCACTGACCTTAGAAGCTGCATCAGCAGCGATGGGCGCAAAAGCACTGGATTCAGTTCACTTAATTCAAGAGCTAGAACTGCCTTGAATTCGAGACATCGGTTGTGTCAGAAAGAGGTGTCCACGTGTTTACCAGACTACGTTAAGTGGCGTCCTACTCTGTGAGAGGCGCCAACGATTTGAGAATCTGAAGCCTTTGATCATCGCTCCCTGCGAAGCACTCTAGCGTTGGAGGGCATCAGCGTGTCCGCAACAATGATGTGCGTAAGCTAGTGCTGGGCAGTGATAATCAGGCTAGTTCCCCAGTACAGGAGATTGCACTGAATAAGTTGCGTTGGCTTGGGCATGTATTACATGTGCCCGGTCACCGCTTACCAATGTGGGCTTTGCCAGATGTAGGGTGACACAAGGCTCGAAGTGGATGAAGGCTAACTTGGCAGCGAGAAATGAAGTCGCTGACGACCAAACTTGGTGCCGTCGGTCCGTTTCTCCTTCCAGGCTGGAGTCAACGTGACCCGCCTTGTGCTTGGCTTGAGATGTTACAGGACATGACTCGCAGTGGGCATCAGTTGCACGTCTGCTGCCGTCTCCTAGTCGGACTGCCCGTTCAAAGTGTTTGGTGCTGAGTTATCTCCGGGATAATGGCTGATTATGATGCGGGACTGTGAAAGCCGCAAGGATGCTGTCTTGCCGATGCCGTTTTACCTTTCCACGATAGCCGGCTGCTTGTTGTTGACAAGGTATCGGCGCCTTAGACCTTATGGTATCAAGGTTTTTATGCTAGATCCCCTTCTCTGCCTCTTATTATTCCTTAACTCCATAAATCATTGTGGTTGTACGGCAGCGAAGCATCAGTTCAAATGGTCGATGTACTGCTACTTATGATGATAATAAGCGGATACCGCGAAGCATGCTACATTTACGCGAGTTTCAGATATCAGTCTCTCTAACGTTACAAGGCGTTTGGAAGCTTAAGTCACGCATATCCCACAGGAATATTCAACAAAAAGCGATGTCCGGACCTGAGATAACGGTGCTATTTGCACAAATTCATCGTATCAAAATAGACATTACCTTAACGGTTTCCAAGCTCAAAAGTATGTCTACACTTCGCGCTCAGATCCACGAGCGACCGGTGACTTCAGGCGTGCGAAAGAAACAATTGAATCAAAGTGAGACACACAGGGCTTATGGTAAGAATCCAAATGAGCCAATGGTAATAGGTATGCGTCCGCCAATGAAAACATGCGGCGGCAAGGCCTGGTATACCTAGCTGTACAAGCTGTGAGAGTCACACAAATCGATCAAATCAAGGGAAACAGTGCCATGTCAATAAGGCTGAACATAGGGGTACTTGTGTGTGGGAGTGAAAACGAGGTAGGACGTGAATGAACTGGACACTATGTCACGGTAATGGCGTCATGGTAGGTAGCGTTGGAAGAGAAAATGGACAGGCACATGAATGATCCATGGTAGGCGATGAAGCTGGCCAACGTAAAAGTAGTCATTTGACCGAGGTGAGTCTTGGGTGGTCGCAAATTCGTTCTACAGTCTCTATTAGGAGTTTTCTGCCTTTTGCTCGTTTTCTCCTTGGCATATGGACAACCTATCATCAGCTTCGGGTATTCACAGACTTCCTGACGCTACCTAGCCACAGTTTCTCTATACTGAATACTCTCGTTTAACCGTACTTAAATACCACATTGCCATAACCTCTCCAATGTCCGCGCGCGCCTTCTATCAATTCGTACGCAATTCCATTAATTCAGCAGCTTAGACCCAGCGATACTGCTCTTTTTAATGTTCGAATTCAAATTCCAGACTGGTCAGAGGTTCAAACTTGGTCGTGCAAACCCCGAGTATGGCGAACATGTTCATCCAATGGCACGGTTGCACTACATTGCTTCCGCTAAAGGAATCCCAGGGCCGAAATGCTGGGTCACAGTCGACCATTTTACCTTTCCCGACGGGTCGCAACTTCCGGGGAGAGACATCAGTAGTTCCCCCTCTCAGTTCAGATGCGAAGTAAGCTCGGTGTCTCATTCATCTAGTAATTATATTGTAACTGGTTCATGCTGCATTATTTTTTCATTTCAGATGCAGTTCGATGTTCACCGCACAACTGGAGCACCAGCTGCCAGTAAGCGTTTGGCGAAGCGCTTCGCTGCTGAAGCAATGCTGAAGTTGGTCGGCTTCACCCGGCCTAAGTCGCCAACTCAGAAAGGTGTTCTCCGTTCAGATCCGACAGAACGGAATATTTCTCCCAAGCCCGAAGGGCAACCAGGTAGCATGCTTATTTTCCATAGTCCACTTTGAATTAACACCACCTGTTTTCGCAGCACTTTTTGCATTTGTTGGCGCATTTTGAATAACATTGCTTTTGGATGGGATGCTGGCACAGCTACACATCTACCATCGTCATGTAAGGGTAGCGGTTCTCATTCCCTCCACCGTTTACTAGTTTGTCGCGCAGACATGTTCATTTAGAAGCGGGTAACAACTTGACTAACCAGTGCTGTAACTGGTGTGCCTATGAGGTCTTATAAGGTCAGCATAGCGAATTCGGATTGGTCCCTCCATTATGAGGTTGAGACGTTCGCATCTTAACAGCGACTCGGTTTTCAAGGTTGATCTCGCTTGCGCAATTGTCCATCATTTTCGTTTTCATCCCGATTTTAGACCATTCCTGTGCACCCCAGTCTACATGCAACAGTGGTACCCATCACGTACGTTTTTGTCGATACAATATGTTCTTCTTTTATACGCATATCCATCACGTTGTCCATGTTTCATCCACTACTTCATTTAGCTGACTGGTATTTTCTGGATCTTTCTAATTAACAACTTAAACAGGTGTCCTCCTACTAATGGGGTCGTCAAATGTAATCTGTTCACATTAGTTAGGCTCCGTATTTTCTGCTTTTCTCTCAGACTGAAACCCCTGTTTTTGATTCGATGAAATAAATTTTATAATCCTGGTGATACCTCGAAACCTTATCTACGAAGGGAACGAATCATATTTACATCAATGGCATACTCATGTATGCGAAAGTGTCCAGAATTTGGGTAGAGGCGAGGATACCGATGAAATGTATTATATAAATCGTCCTACACAACATTCATTTTCATCATCCATCAGATCCCCAGGTACACTTGGCAGTCATTCTGATGTATAACCAGAATACTAGTGATTGTGAGGTCATGAAATGGAAAGAAACCAGAAACATCAGCCAAATGGAACAAGCAAATCATAGCAAATTCAGACGCTGTGAAAAATTTAGGATAGAAATGTCTAGGCACTCTGTGCTAACATAGACTAGGATGAGTGAGGGAAAACTCGAACTGATCTCCTACGGCTCTCCACGGACCATATATTTTTTGGCTACGATAGCCTAGCATGCTGTGAAAATGTGTGCTGATCATGTTATGGAGTACGCAGAACAATGTGAACCCTCCCAACTTGCACCTAAAAGTAGGGATTACGTGCTCGAGAGTTCGGAGAAAGTAGCAGTGATCCGAGAAACATTAAAGAGAATTTCATAATCCTTTCATTTGACACGTATACTTCGGAGTGCAACAAATCGTTTGAGTTTCATCCATATTCCATTTACACACACACACACACACACACACACACGTGGTTGACGGCATCCGGTTCCGGATTTGCCTGTCACTGCGGCCTCCATAGAACAGCCAGAGGGCGTCTGCGCCTACAGAGAGATCATGCGTGACTTGCGCTGCACTACCCACAGCTCCATTCATACACCAATATCCAGTATAAATCTGAAGAAATAGAGGCATACGGATGGGAGTCATGTTTCAGCAACGGAGTCGACCCATACGCCTTCAAAATATACAGCATCAGCCCTCCTGTCCATCATGCGTACCAAACGTACAAAATGCGGTGGCTGTGCTGTAATCCGCTTCACACTGGATGTAACCACTCTTTACGCCTAACACGGCCATGGGGACCGTGCACCACGTCCCCCCAGCAGCGATTCGCAGTCTGCTGGAGCCAACAATCAAAGTGCAGGGTGTTAGACAGGTAGGCACCTTGTGAACATTCGCATGAAGTGCAGCCACTGCGGGGATATCAAACAACCAACACAGAATTCGAAGGGAAATAAATGCGGAAATTTGACACGGAATATGCGGTAGAATAACAGAACTGAGCAAATCAAATGAAGAGGAAGCTAGAGTTGGATCAGTTACAAACGGGATTAATCGCTGCAGCATTCAGCTTAACAGCTACCTCTGTATTCGGGGAAACATTGAACATCTGTTTTATTCACGCCAGATTCGTCAGCGCTGCGCATTCCATTTGTCAAGTGAGAGTGATTCGGGCGACCATACTACTTGAGTCGAAGTTTTGCTTCCTTCGCTATGTGTGTGGTTGAAGGTACACAATCTCACTTTGGGGCTCTGCTTACTTTGAGGTTAGGCTTGCTCAGCTCCATCATTGTGGACTCAAATGAGGTAGGCAAATGCTGGGTGTTGCTTTCTTTGAACACTACGTTCCACGGTTGACTTCGTCTTTGTTCACACCCTTTGTCTGTGTGCAGGTATTTATATGCTGGAAATACGCGTCACCTTGAGATTGTGTGTCGTGGTGTCACAGACAAATAGCGGGTATTTCTAAACTCGTGATGTATGCGACCTGTTTTTGTGAATGATTGCTCCGATTCTTTGTTTGGCAGTCTTTTCTTTTCATTGTTACCCTTGAGTGACATTGTGGATATCCAGAAACCGTAGCCTCACGAACTTGACCGCGCTCTTTCGTATTTAATTTCGCCACCATATGCACTTTGGATTTGGTTGTGGACAAATTCTCTACACTAGTCGTCCTTCCCACTAACGAATGAAACGAAAACTTGAGGTACATCAACAGCAGTACGTCAGCGCGTCGTACCGATACCTCGTTACCACCCGACCTCCAAGTCACGCGCGGGCTGGGTGTACTGCGAGCTGGAACGCGTTTGCGTATAGTTGAACCGTCGATTTTTGAATCACAACGCAGACGTGTTATAAGAATCGGCTACCGGCCGATGTCCTTCCGCCGTACTCAATCTCTACCATTATGCTACTCATAAAACGATGTTCTCTGAAGTTACTGCTGCTGTGACATAACGTTTGGCACCCTGGTATTTTCATTATAACTGTTCCACTGTGGTCTCTGTTCTGCTTAGATTCGCCACACGTCTTTCAGCTCCACCATGGACGTTCTTGTCTTGGATGATGCAGCTGCTAATGCTTCGCGAAGGCCTTTTAAGAGTCGCTCGACGTAAGCAATTCCACCCGTCTCCTTTATATTGTTCTCACAGTGTTTCGGTTGCATTCTCCAGTTTTTATTCAACTTAATTCGTATGCTATCACTTAGAAAGTTATAACTATAATTGTGCTTTCCTTCATCTATATATCCTATTTCTGCACTATCGGTTCTTCCCCCCTACAACATTCATCTTATAATGAGTCTTTGGTCATGGGCGAGGGTCAGTCCATCGCAATGAGGCTGGACCTTACCGTGGTGCGATGGTTTGCGTGCCTCAGAGATCCATTGAGCTATGCTGGGTGGTGCTTTTTTTGCACCTTTAGAGCCACTCATACCAGATTGGTCAATGGTTAGAGGCCAGACAAACTCAGCCTCCTGGTCCTCCAGGTTGGGGGTTGGAATGGGGGTGGCTCCTCATTTCATAAAACGGACTCTGTAGTCCAGTGCCAAAACCCGCTGTCTTGCGGTAAGGTTTTTGAACCAAAGGCTTTGGTTGAGAACCCTAATCGTTCTCCTGTCTAGGCCTGGGCAACCTGACAGTATTCTGCCCACGCAATACAATGAACCTTTCCTACAACAGTTTCTTGATGCTCTGGCCGTCGCAGAGGATAATCAACGGCGCCCTATCTGCTGCATCGAGCAGGGTGGATAGGGGTATGGATGCTACTGCTCAGGCCTTCTCGTCTTCTTATACCCCTTCTTGCACTTCTGCATCCTTATTGTCCCGCTCCAACTTTACTTATATCCCCCCATTTTCAATCCCCCAATTCTTGGCCCTCCCCCAGCTTTCTTCAGTAGTAGCTTGTCTTCTACTTTCAAATCACACACAATCGCAGTCTCTCCGGAACGAAGTCTCTCCGGAACAATGTCCATCCGTTACTGGGGACTCAGCGGGCGTGCCACTGTTTGTTTATTTGTTTGTTCTTTTCTTGCCTTTTGTATTGCGGCACAATAGCTGAGGTGTTTTCCACCTCCAGCTAACGTGCAATGATGTTGATGATGATGCGAGGGTCAGTGCGAACATAAGAATGCCCTTCCGGTTTCCAATTAGTCTCTAACTGCTGACATGAAATGGAGCTTCGGTCTGTTACAGTCTTGTTACACCCGATTTCTCGATATTCTATCTAATTTCGCCGGCGGATTCCTTCTATTACTTCTTGTCAATGTCACCTGTTCTCATCACTGGTGGTTGCTTTATTCGTGTACTTGTTCACAAGCCGATAGTGTTTTCAGTCGAACGCTTCACAGTCTCTGGCTTCCCCGTGTTCCACCAGTTTTGTCTTGATCGCGCTGAGACCAGCCTGCTCTAAACGAGTTGTTGCTACCAATCTCCAACTCAACAGATTTAACTTGTTACTTCCTGCTATTTGTCTTCTGCTCTTCACCGTCGTTTATTTCATTTTCAATAACTAAACGGAGCACTAACCCTAACCACGTCTTTATGGCTTCACATCGGTGGGAACTAAGACTGGCTTCATCACTAACCGTCCTTGTTGGGCCGTCACCGTAGCATTATTGACACTGTATAATTGTATATTCTATGCCAAACTAACTGTCAAGTCACATTTGCATTCGGTATCATTGCAAGATGACGATTCCCGATCCTCATGACACTGTATGATTGCACACTGTCGGCGGTTCTCAATCGGACGAAACATTCACTCTGTTTTTGTGGCATGATTGTTCACGTGAACTTTGTCATGATACATTTCTTCTGAGACCTATGTATCTCACTGCTGCGTTCTCTTTTGCGAAAATCATCTGTTTCCCTTTTTGCATCGTTTCAGTCGGTTTACCTGTTTGCGCAGAGCGAAGTCTTCCTCTCCCCATGCCGATCGGAGGACTGCTGGGAGAGCCTCAAGTGGTTCATCCATACTACCAGTGAGTTAATTTGCAGACAACACTTGACATGTGGTACATCAAACTTATGTACTTTACGAACTCATCAAGTTGGCATCACTCACATGTGTTCCAAGTTCCCTCCGAACGTATTTATTCCCTAATAAACCTTGGAGGGTCGGATTTTTTTCGCAAAATAGCTCCACGCTCACAATACAATCAGAATGTTCAGCTGTCAAAAGTGGCTTAGGTGCGACCTCGTCCTTTGGTTTCCGTTGAGTCTGTTATCAAGAGTGGTGGGTTGATAGTTCAACCAATGTACAAGTGGGTTGGAAACAAGCATGCTCATTTTCATTAATACGGGGATGACTGCTTCTTTCAACCCGGTTTCATTTTTGCTTTCAGTGGCTAAGTAACTCCGTGGACTTGTCCGACGTGGCTCACTTGCGCAGCTAGTGACTTCCCTGCATTCGGTTTCCTGCATCTGACTTAATATTCCGTCTGGATTAATTTTGCTCGCTTCCTTCTTACTCTTTTTTCTTTGTATTCTGTCTGCGTTCCACTTCACTTTTCCAACCATTGTTATCTGTTATGGCGTTGCGAGTTGAGGCAACTGGTGCACCGTTCTTCGGGACCCGGATGATAACCGTTTAACTGCACTGTACTGAACTGAACCAAGCAGTACCACACCGCCAGTTTTTCGTCACTGAGATGCGTGCTCTCAAAAAGGAATACACTGTCTGGATGGGCATGGGAACATGCTTCTGAGATTTTGCATCAGCGGTGTTTTTCGACGACACTAATTTATTCCCTGCTTGCTTGGCGTGAGACTGCCTTTAAACAAATTATGTTGGTTCACAAACCAGGCATTCTTATTCGTATGCACCCTCACAATCTCCGCGCGCTACGTCAAATCGGTAAACAGTCGATGCCCGCTCTCGTCCCGTATTTCCTTGGAGTTAGTATTCAACGCACCTTGGAGCCTGTATAAAATAGGTTCCGAACCGCTTAAAGATATGCATGAAGTTCTCACTCGAGTTAACCTAGGCGAGTTGAACCTACAAAAACTATTCCATTTCTCTGCACTTATCATCTGTTTAAGATAAGCATTTTGTGGAGTGGAGTCTCTATGACTTTTCCGGCTAAGTCCGCAGCACCCAGTCATCTATGCGAATGTCTACAAATTTCTTGCCGGTCATACGACGCTTTCGCTGGTATTATATCGATCCGAGACCTGGTGGTCTCGGATCAATTTATTTGACCTGCATATTTGTGTGTGTGCATCTGACCAGCGTTGTTTTCACGACATTGCTGTTCTTTGGTGAGAATGCCGAGTGAATAATGCATATGCCCACTATTCGATGCTTGACGACATGCCATCGGGTGTTTCATTGGATGGGTGTTTCATCTGTTGAAATGGAGTCACCTGGGCTGGTAGGTCACGCACACCTGTCGGTCGTCTGCTTTAGCTTATTCTGTGTACTGACTGTGTGTCCTGTTAGACGAAACCCTAGGGTGGCTAATGGTGAAACCGAAAAATCATAAAATTGATCAAACAGTAGGTCATGTTGCTGCAAGTCGGATCACTAAATGTGTACCTTTAAGTTGCGCGTATCTTCAAATTTCGACGCACACATGATCGCAGGGTGTCGCTTCGGTCCAGTCGACAAGTCTATGACTAACAAAGTGGATAGTCTCAATTCATCCGCTTTTTCTTGGAACCCTCGATCCTCGCTAAGACTGGCATGCCTCAGCTTGGTCACTGTTGCAGACCTGTCAACAGACAGCACTCCACGGAAGATTAGAAATTATATCATGCGACATATAATGCTTATCGGAAACTCGCCTACACTAACTTTCGATACAGTACTCCGCGCAGAGTGACATAGCGTCCGCCAGATTCACACCATTCATGGACGCAAATCAATCACATCGTATTCAGTTACCATTTGAAGGGTTGCGTCTAAAATTGACTCTCGATTTGGAACACATAGACTGGCACCATGCACTTGTGTGTGTCGATCTGCGGGTGCGTTTCTGGAGACGCCCACGACGAAGACATGAGCGCGTAGATGCCGACTATTGAAGCTGGATGTTCTGAATGCATATCAAAGCATGCTGGCATCCGGGAGGAGTAAACGCCTGCCGAACACAGTTGTAAGTCTGGTTGCACGCTCGCCAGAGGTGAATACTAATAAGCAAATCTTCGTGAAGTAAACCCGATTGAAAGTCTGGGAAGTGAGCCTTTACGCAGTCTCTAGGACTTCTGGATGCTAAACGACTGGATGAGAACACAACGAGATCCGCAAAGACCTCAGGGCAAAACTGCGTGGTAGCCTGGTGGTCTCATCTTGCCTCGGAGATGGAAATGGCCGCCACTTTTAGTAACCATCCTAGGTTGATCCGTCTGATACAATAAACGGGTAGCAGGAGGCCTGATGTTGGCGAGAGTATATGCGACGAAATTCGACAGTCAATCCACAGCTTGTCAAAAACTTGGAACTTTGTGTTTGACACTTTGAAAAACAATTTGATCGATCGGTACAACTAGATTCACGGCTTGCTAGTTATCTTCCTGCTCTTTAGTCCTTCCCTTTGAATCCGCCCCTTCGAGCAGAAGTTGAACATGAAACCTGTCTATTGAAATTGACCAATGCTGCAGACCATCTCTCTTGAAATTTGATAATCAACTCGTAGCTGATTTGGATGGTTTATTAATGAAACTGTGGGAACAAGAAACTGTTACAGCCAACTGGTGCTGTTCCACTATGGTTTTAGATTTCGAAAAGGGAGGTTCAAATTCACAATGCGGCACTCATACCATATATCAGTCTGATCTCCATCGCCTCCAGCTTTTTATCTCAGCCTTTATCCACAGATTGTCTGGCACCCGTAATATTCAATTTTTTGTAGAGCCAGGTTTCGCCGGAATCGAGGCTGTACTGACTGCATTTTCACTTTACGTCAATTGTTGGAGCACCGCCACTTAGATTGGCCACCCACCGTAGTCGTGTTCTTCAACAGCATAGCACCTTCGATTTGGTGGGTCGATGTGTGCTTTGGGATAATCTGGTTAGGAAAGTATACGAGAGAAATATACAAATACCGCCAGAGTGCTTTAGACACGTCGCTTGCGCAGGATGATGGCCTGTGACAATCTATCGCCTCAACTCTCTATCTCCAGCAGTGTTAAGCAAGGATGTTTGCAGTCACGCTTCCTCTTCAGTTCCGGTATTGACGAAGTTATGAAAAATGCTTTCTACGGACACGATTTAGAAGGTGCGGATTTGCTCTCAGGTAGTCGACTTTTTGACTTGAAGTATCCCGACGATATTATCCTCATCTGTGAGAATTCACAAACCTACTAAGCAACACTGGACACGGTAGCACTTGTCGTCATCCGTTCCGATCTTTGCTTTGCATCGTCAAAATGCAAAGCTATGCTTCTTGGTTGGCAGGAACTGCTCTCTGCGCGGACCCTTGGTAGTGATAAGTTAAGAGTTGTTCCGAAATTCAACTACCTGGGCAGCTAAATCAGCACCTGTGGAACAAGTGAAGATGAGTTTACACATCGCACAGCAAAGACTCGAGCTGCTTTTGACAGTCATCGCCCTCTGTGACACCGGCGCGACGTCACTCGCCCTGAACGGTGGAGTCTAGGATGCAGCTGTCCGTTCAGCCTTCATGTACGGTTGTGAATCCGGACCCATCAAATCGATAAAAGTGTTGTTTTGTGTTCGAACACCGGTGCTTGGCTCACATCTGGTGGGAACGGCTTGAGCAGTGATCGAGTTTGAAGCCTGCTTTATGGCGCAGGAAATGAAAGTGAACCGCTCAGCACCATTACTTCTCGCGCCAGGCTCCGATGGCTGGGTCATATGTTACGCATGCTAGCACGCCGACTTCTGTGACGTGCACTGTTTGCACGATCGGACTGTGGATGGAACAAGTGGAGATGGCTAACCAATGACTTGGCCAAGAGGAATGAAAGCTGTCACTTTGTACCTGGCCTCAGTTGGTGCCCCCCCGACTCCTTGATTGTATCCTGACTTGTCAAAAGATCGACCTCAACGTCGGTTGTGTAGTGACTTACTTTATCCCTTTGCCACGATCTTACTACCGATGTAAATCCTTTAAAGAAACAACATATCATTCGTTTGTTTTTCTTTTACGACTAAGTAGCTGGCGCGTTTTGAACCCCAAGCGCACATGTGTGATGACAGCGGCCTCCCCACAGATTCGACCGTTTTCTGAACAGATCGACGGATATACGCCCCATTGGTCTCATACAGCATTTGCTTGCAACTGGATTGTACTAAGTACATGCGCCACGTTACTCTTTCTTCGAGATAAAGTGGCGTATATTCAAATGGTTGCATAAAGCACATTCCTGACTTAAGTTGAGAACACATAAAGATGTAAGCTTACGCATTGCTCACGTTCATGCAATTTGATTTAACGGTGTTAGAAAAGTCGTACTTGTTGTCCTCTGGACGACGTCTTAGCTCAGCCCGGTGACAAACGTAGACAGCAGGGCTCGATCACCTAACGGCTGGATAGTCGTCCTACCATCTGAGGTTTCATTCCCAACGCCAGCAGGGCCGACATGACCTTGGGGTCCTGTATTGACGGCGTATAACGCCTGGACTTTATCTTATTTAGCTGAGACCCCAGTGATCTACCGAGAGGAAGTTTAATTCGTTGTGCGGTCCGTGTCGAAGTTTAAACACGGTGAACGCTTCGAAAGCTAACAGAGGCATGGCAGTTATTTGTGTTTGACATATGTGTCTACCTTCTGCATCGACGTAATTGAGACCGCAGCTCCGATCTCTTTATCTCCTTATGCGCACTAATGGTACTCTGGAGCTATCCACGGAGTATCATACACTATGAAAACTGTGCTCCCATACTGTTGTCCAGAGTAGAACGAAAGTGGCAAATAATGTGGTTTCAGACATCTCACATAGATATGCCACTGCAAACGGGCATTCAGTACCGATCAGAGTATCTCAGTGTCCTGAGTCATAGGAAAGATATTCCAATCCTATAGTTGAGTAAGCATCTGCAAAAGCACAGTATGTCGCGCAAACCACACCGTTCCTTGGTCCTCTGCTAGCATTCCTAATCGAAGCATGTACCTAAGGTGTCCCGGCAGTTGCCTCATCGCTATTCTCTTGATAAGTTACCCATCATTACTTGCGTTACAGTTTGACTAAATGGACGCATGATCCGAGTGTGTTTGTTTAAAGCAGCGAGTTACTATCGCTCTGCTGTTTGATGATGTATTTCAGTTCTGGAAACCCGATGATTTGATGATGTCTCCAGTTCGAACCTGCATCAGCACAGGCGATCTCACAGTATCCGTAGCCCACACGCGACTGTGGGTTGTAACGAAGCGTCAACACAACTTACTGGCGCGCTGCTGTGATTCTTTTTTCTTTCTTTTGGAAGTTCCTCATAATCAACTTGGGGTGTTCCGGAATATTACTGAACGATTACTCTTAGCAGTGCAGGCTGACATCCGCCCTCTTACACTTACAAGTACGGCATGTGCGAATGAAACTCTTTGCCCTTTTAGAAAAAAGAGAAGGGAAGGGTATTGGATGACTATCTCACCAGCTCGCAGGCTTAGTAGCAAGAATATTAAACTCAGACGTAGGCCACACAATGTGGTTTGAAATTTTTGCTAGAACTGATCATTCTATTTAAGACCTTATTGTGGTGTAACAACTGCTTGCACGAATATTTTTCTCGCAGGATGTTTTCGTCTTTTTTTGATGCTTATCCAGCCACCCGTCCGTTTGGATCATGCGTTCTCGACCACTACGATTGGACACTGGTCTGGTAAGTCCACATGCTCTTGCAATCTTTATGCCGCATTTCCGAAAGCAGCAACTTCGTTGTATTTTTTCTCATGTACACAATTATCATTATTTTGTCAGGCTAGGATATCTGGTAGTTACCCATGGACAAATGCACTTATCTTAAATCCTCCACATTATTTTTTTAACGCGTTATAGAGCCTGCTTGTGGAGCTCTGTGATGCAGATATTCGTTCGGTGCTCATTGAGGGATTGCTAGATTTGTTGTCTACCGACGATGAAGTTCCTGCGCCCGACTTCACCTAGACATCGAATACAGTTTTAGCGCTTGATGCGCAGTCAAGATACATTATCACTGATTTCGGCAATTACGCGCTCGGGATAGTCAGCGACTGCGT